ATACTTCGCTGTTTGGGGAATTAGAGGTATAATAAACTATAGTAGTGTATGATTATGTTATCTTATATGTTCTTGTCTGTATGTACGTAGGTATGTGCATGCATGCATGCATGCATGCATGCATGGATGGATGGATGGATGGATGGATGGATGCATGTATGTATGTATGTTCGGTTGTTCAGCCATTTCCCCGGTACAAACCGGCCTTTCTCATCGAGGGAACGAGAAGGTCCTTTCGCTGCAGCCTATGCTCCATGCACATTTTACGGCAACTGTTGTGAGGACCTGAATATGAGTCTTTCTTTCGTCAGGGTTGTGGGTAGGGGAAGTTCCCCTACCTGAATATGAGTCTCTCTCTCTCTATATATATATATATATGAATAGGAGTCTCTATATATATATATGTATAACTGTGTATATATATATATATACATACACGTGTGTGTATATATACACACACCCACACATGTAACCACCAACGGGCCCCCTACAACCGTGACCCTCACAGATGCGAATGCAGTCTGTCTTCCGCTCATTGCAAGGGTCTTCGCTGGGGCACAGCCCAAGGTCTGCTGTCTGATTGACGCATCGGCGAACATCCACGAACTCTCTCCTCTTTGCCGTCTTCTCTCCTCGACCCACAGCGTTTAATGAGTACTGATTACTAGTACAAGAAAAGTGGACGGTTGCCCTACGAGCCCTCATTTGGAGCGAACTCCAGGTCGCCAGGCCGAGGCAACCAAAAACTTGCAGTTTTGGTCTGTTTCAAGTTTCCTTGAGGTGTTATATAACCTCAAATTTGTACGTCTTTAAAGTTTTACAATCGTTTAAGCTTTCTATAAACCTTACAAATCGTTTTGTAATTACTCTCAGCTTCGAGGCAGCCAGGTCCCACGCACATTGCTCCGGTAGACCGCGGGCTTCAGGTCTGTCGGGGACAAGTCGGCGGGCTCAACACCACAGGGCCTGCACAAAGTGCAGGCTGCTGCGCATCTGGTCAGGGCTTGCAGAGTTTAAAGCATTCCAGGTTTTAGGCGCTGGGTGGGTTTGTGGTGTAGTGCTTCGATCGACTCTCACAGCTCTGAGCTGGTCTGGTGGGTACGACCGTCTGAACTTCAGCAAACGCTTTCAAGGTTTGGAGCTGCATCAGCAGCATAGTTGGACCCTGGCAACTTGCCGAACCGAGAACTTCTTCGAACACACCCATCCTGCCAACAAACTGAGCCAACTGCAGCAAGACTACTGATAATCACCCCTAAACCCTAAACCCTAAATCACACTGGCTGTCGTGACGCGTGCTGGAACTACGAGTACGCTTGAGCCTTCGGTCTCCCATTGCAGTCTGCTCACAACTGTAGACAACTATGCTATACTATACTGTACTATACTATACTATACTAGTATATACTCTACTCGTATATACTAAACTATGATATTCTTTTGTTAACATCGCCTCAACACTCCGATTTACCAAAGGGCCTGAATCCTGGCCGCCGCGAAGGGCTCCAACAGCGACGCCTCTCAGCTCCGGGGGCTTTGGGGTAGTCTTCCCTACAAAGTTCAACCTTCTCCTCTGGCTCTTGCAAAGCTTTAGGCTTTTTGGGCTCAAGCGTTTTCAAGCTAAGACTGCGGCTCAGGCGGAGAAGGCTCAGCTGGACCTGACAAGCGCAGGGAGGGGAATGCTGGAAAACTGATACCAGTAGATACCTGAAGCCGTAACTCGCAATCTTGAACCTTTCTGCGTTGGCATCCGAGCCTTTCTTAAGGGTCCTAAGCCTGAACCTAAACTCCGGAAGGCTGAGCCCTTGAGGTACTCAACTCGGCTCGCGGCTGATTCTGTCATCCGGAACATCGATTACTCTTGGGGCGGCTGGCGCTGCACCATGCCAGCAATTCCTTCGACAAGCTTCGTCAGTGGCTTGGGGGGATGGTGTGTTTTTCGGGGGGGTGCGAGTCCTGCTCACCAAGCTCGACGGCTGCTCTCTCGTCGGCCTTGTCCTTGAGCTGTCTGCCTGGATACCGCTTTGTTGCGAAGACCCGTCCACGGGTGCACCTCAGCCAAGTCTCAACAATAAATTGCCTGAAACCGATGAGCTTCAAGCATGTTCGACGAGGGCTTGATGTGCCCAGCCCCCCCCCCCCCGAAGGCCTTGATGTTCCTAAGGTCCTACGGGTTTGGGGGGTACCATCTGTCAAGCGTGAAGGGGGCTGGAAAACCTGGGAACTGCCTTTAAGGCTTTAAGGCTCGAGCTGCACGGTGATGCCGTCGGTGAGTCTTGACTTTCCAGCTTCACGCCAGGCTCTGGAGGGCTCCGAGCAGCTCCCTCCTCGCCCGCAGGGCCTCACAGTGCAGAACACCCCACAAGGTCTGCGTGTGGAGAAAAGAAAGGCGACACAAAGGGCTCTCTTGTTGGCAGCCATGGATGGGGCCTAACTTCCCAACTAACCACCGAACGAAATGACAGTGCTACAGATAGTAAAGGGCAGATGATGTCAAACGTCAGCGGCAGTTCCGCAGAAAACGCCAAATGACGCCAGTCCGCCGCCACACCCGACTCCACAGGATACTGCAGGGCATCTGTCATTGCATTGGCACTCGCAGGAGCCGGTACGGTAGACTGTATGCATACACGATGCACCACCTCAACGGTCCCTTTTTAACTCTGAGAGAATATGGGAGTTTCCGAAAATTAGGGTACCGGGGTACCTTATTTTGGGGTCCTTATATAATGAGGATCCTACTATTTAGGGTGCTCTATTAGGGTCCCCTATTTTCGGAAACCCCCATGTGCTTGAGCTCACGGCCAGGTTCATCGCTGCCCGTGATGTCGATCACGTCTTGGGCGGCTGGCTCCAGAGGTGTAGCTGAGAGGTTGGACCTTGACACATCTACTCCGGGTAAGAGTGCGTATTTGTTTGCTGTCGTTTCTTTTTTGCTGTCCTTGCGGTGGCGCCTTTTTTTGTGTTGTCGTTGCGGGGCGCCTTTTTTTGTGCTGTTGTTGCGGGGGCGCTTTTGTTTTGTTTTTTTTGCTGTCGTTTGCGGGGGCGCCTTTTTGTTTTGCTGTCGTTGCAGGGGCGCTTTTTTTGAAGTCGTTGCGTTTTTTGTGTGTTTTTTTCCTGTCTTTTGCGGCGGCACTTTTTTTTTGCTGTCGTCCCTGAACGCATTTGTTTTTTTTGTTTGCTGTCGTTGCGGGGGCACGTTTTTTTGTTGCTGTCGTTCCAGGGGCGCGTTTTTTTTGCTGTCGTTGCGGGAACCGGGGTTCACGCACTCACTGGCTTCCTGGGTCCGCGCAACGACGACACAAAACAACATAAAGCAACTACAGCCAACAAACACGGGTTCCATCTACTCCGTCTCATGACGGTCAGGTTTACCACAGCCAATATGGTCACATAGACTCCGACTTTATCGCAGCATCCGACCCCTTAGCCGTCTATATGCTACTAGTATTTGCTATCCGTCTTCGTCTTGTTGTTGTTGCTGCTGTTGCTGCTGTTGCTGGTGCTGGTGCTGGTTCTGGTGGGTGGGGTGGGTGGTCGTGGGCGGTCGTGGGTGGTAGTGATTGGTGGTGGGTGGTGGTGGGTGTTGGGTGGTGGGTGGTGGTCATAACACTACACTATCGCATGCATGGCGCCGTTTTCAGGAGAGTTACTGTCCAAATTACCAGTTATATTCAAAATGCCGCTTTGTTTCAATCCAAACGCTACTCCCTTCCTGTGTCTTCCTGTCAACGAACTAGATCTTGAGACTCATCGTTCTCCCAAACCTGCCCTAGCCGCCCTAGCCGTCCGTGTCCATCCGCACCTGCGCTGCTGCTGCAAGCACGAAACGAGTCTCGGCTCACGACGGCTCTTCTCTGCTGTGCACCAGCTGGTGGGCTCCAGGTGGCGAGGCTGCGCCTCGCACGAAGGGCCAAGGACAGCTATCCCCAAGACCACGACTTGCTGCCAGATAGATCATAGGTATCGGGTTTAGAGTACGTGCCAGAGGGTTTGGGGAGTTGAGGTTGTGGCGTGTTTTAGGTTGCATACCAGATGCAGCAGGCCACGGGAAACTTTGGGCTTCTGGCCGGGTTGCTGCCGCGGGCGCTCGACGACAGGGCTGCGTGATTTAGGAGGTGGTCTCCGATGATCCCAGCTCCGATCTTTCCTCTGGTCCTGCAAGCAGAAGGCTCTCAAAGAACACGCTCTGTACATCTATCTACTCTCCTTTGTAGTTTGAGCTCGGCAGAGGGCAACTATGAGCGATCCTATTCAAGTCGACGATATCTGACTGGCCTATATAGCAGCCGGCTTCTAGTCAACGGCAGACTGTCCAGGAGATGATGAGGATTCTCCATCAAGTACCGCTTCAGCACCTCGGAAGACACTCTGTTGAAGAATGGCTCCAGCTCGTGGATTCTAGGCATCCGCTTTCCATTCGGTGTAACCCTTTCCTTTATCAAAGTGATGTCGGCAAGCAGGAGGCCACCGTAGACTCAGCGGGTTTTCCGGGCTGTACCCCCGCAACCTGAGGCAGCGCGGCTCATCCTGCACAAAATTTCCATTTGTTTGCAATGCTCGGTCTGCGCCCAAGTTCACTCTACACCGAACTCAAGGCGCCTGTATCCTCTCAAGCCTCATTCGCATTATCTCAAGCACCTGTAACGATGTAAGAATGTAAATGCGTAGCTGTTTCTTTGCTTCCAACAGCTACTGACAAACGAGACTTGAAAGGCGACATTGAGCATCATGGAAGCTCCGCTGCAGTATCTGCATGGGTGGCTGCAAGCGGATCGGCTCTGAGCCATATGTACAGAAAAGAAATGTCTAGCTGAAGAGCACCTCAGCCAGTCCCGGTCGTGGTGCCGCTTGTGGCAGATCTTCGCTCGCAACCACAACCTTATCGTAGTACTCAGACTCGATCATTGCCCGGAGCTGCTCTAGAGGTGATGTCCTCTCAGGCAGCTTGTTGCTCAGAAAGCTCTTCAGCATGCCCTGGCTGAATCCAGAGAGCATCACCACACCTGGCGAGTGCTACTGCTGCTACTGGAAGGATGGGGAATGGTGCCGCGATGATGAGCATTATGATGATGATGGTGATGATGATGATGACAACTATAATGATGATGACGACGATGATGATAATTAGGGGTGACTGGTGGTGGTGGCGGTCATGAGATTACAACTCGACTATGAGAGCGATTCTGCGATTCTGTTTCCATCATAAAGAAGCCCGACACCTTCTTGGTTCGCCATGGTCGGCAGTCGTCCGCGCGCACAGGAGTCACGCAGATTCCAATAGACAATCTCTGGCACATGGAGCCCGTAACCAGCTGTCCTGCCGGGCGGAATGATGACGTGAAGCAGAAAGCACACCGCATCATATCTACCTGCATACTGTAAAACGATCCCATGGCTACTGCATGCCCCAGCATACCATCCTCACGCGCTTTCGACTCCAACTTAGAAAGAAATCCTAACAGTCCTAACAGCCAAAGCCACATGGCGAACAACAGATATAAGTGCATGTGAGTAATAACAAATGAAACACTAGAGTAGAAGGAAAGGATTAAGTGTCTTCGCTGATACTACACATTATCCTTTGCAGGCGCCAGGCCTGAATTTTTGCAAGATCTGTTGGTGGGTTGTGCTCCAGTCGAAGTTGTTGCCGTAACCGTCGCAAGTCGCTTGATCGAACTGCATGTCTGAGAACACGAAGAGAGTCTTCGGCATCTTCTCCTGTATAGTCTTGCTTCTTCTGAATTCCAGACATGGGGAGGCAAACGCCAATGCTTTAATACTGCGCATGGCCATCTGCAAAGAATACTAGGCCAATAATGGCAATAATGAGAATTACTGCAACAGGTTTTGGCAGACACCCAAGAAGCTTGCCTAGTTGTAGAGTTTAGCGGCCCGAGCACAGGTTATGATGTTAACCCTTTGTTAACCTGAGACTCATTCTAAAGCTACATATACCGTCATACACCTGAAGGGTTGAGGATAATTTACTCATCAAGACAAATTTTTAACAGCTTACAAGGGCCAGCGGCAAAGGCAGCTAAGTAGCTCCCGGCACTCCGTTCTCCACGGCTATGCGGAGCATTTCTGTGAACACCTTCCTTGGGGCGGAGTCTTTCTTGCAGGTTCGGTTTAGGGTTGAGGGGTTTATTCTTCCCCTCAGCTCAAAGACTGCAAAAAGCTGTAGCCTCACATGCCCGATACCAGATCCCCAAACCACACAAGTCTCCCCTATCAGGCGGCATTGAAAGATCGAGCAGAAGCAGATTGCAACAAGTGGCTTCGGGCTTTCCTGGGGCTTAAGTTCGTGTGTTTCTGCATGAGTCCCAGATGCAGGAAGTCGGTGTTCATGCCCCAGTCGAGGTCCTCCGTCGCCTTGGCCCGGCTCGACAAGGTAGTAGTCGGGCCGGAGGGGATGGTCACGAATTCGGGATCTCTGGAGAAGGTGCAGATCTTTCCATTCCAGGGTCCTTCCGCCACTTCGCTTACCAGGAGGGACAGAGCAATCGCAACATTCATGGGGGTCCCGTACATGGATCCAGAGACATCGCAAACCGCAAGGCACTGGCCAAGGGCACCAGATTCCCGCACATCTGCTACCAAGTCCCTCCATTGTGCCTCCACCTCCCTCTCCTCCAGTTTCGAACATTCACCCAAGACCTTGTAGACGAGCTCGTGTGGCATGACAGCTCCCCCCTTAACACCCCCTTTACGTGTCAATGCCATTTCAATATGGGCCGCATATCGCTCCGGATCATGCTTTGCATATACGCTTTGGCCATACAACAACCTGCATCTCGAGGCCATTCTGTTGTAGTTCACTTCGCCCCACTGCTCGCGCCCAACACAGGACTCTGGGACTTCAGTAAGCTTCCTCAGTGGTGTTAGCACTTCCTGGCGGTACTTGTCCTTCATTCGGGACACATAATCTTCGAAAGTCCCATCAGGGATCATATAGCGCTCCTTGGGGAAGAGCCTCTCAACAATCCCCTGCACGATGTCCGTCCTCTTGTCATGCATTCCCTGCGAAGTAGGAGCCCACTTTGGCACCAAACTGCCAGTGAGGGCCAATCGCTCCTCACGCGTCAGCTCTTGCCCTTCCGAGTGCTTATGCAGGATCCGGCACAACTCCTGCAGAGAATTCGCGAATTCATCTGCCACGGTATCGTACAACTCCCGGAGGTTTGCATCGGTCGCATAGAGCTTACGCACAGAGAGCCTCTGCTGGGAAATCCGCTCCTTCGCCTCGGCGTGCAACTTGGCATTCTTCTCCCAATCCACTTTCTCACAATAGTCCGCGAACTTTGCCTTGATTTTGTCAGAGATCCACTCCTGCGCAACATCAAGGGTATCAATTCGAGCATCGGGGAGAAAGGGCTGCGTCGGTTTGGTGTTACAGTTCTGCAGATTATCGATCCGTACGTACATGCCATGTCAAAGCTATGCAGGGGCTCTTGAATCTGAAGCAGATTGAATGCGGAATGCCAGGGATGGCTTCGGGCACGCCATGGGACCACAAGATGTCCATCTCGCGACCAGTCAGGTTCACATTGCAGGAAGCGGCTATCGTCGAGTTATACATGGCTGCTTCTGTATAAATGGGCCCCGAGATTATTCAAACATCCGGCAACAAAAGCCGCGTGCAACCTAATCCTGCTCCTCCTTCTCAATCCACGGCATGCGTTTAGGGACAGACTCGTCTCTCCACTTCCGTGGGACCCGAAAGTCTTCTTCCTTCCTTGCCAGGGGCATGGACCAACGACAGGATTACTCTGTGCAACATCGAATGTCTGGCTGCCTGCTGCATGAATGTTGCCAAGCCACCCCAGGCCCTCTTCGGCCAGTTTCTCACAAAATGCCTTGATGCGAGCAGCTCTACCCTCTTGCTCTTTGGCTCGCCGAGCTGCGCCGTTCCTTACACAAGAGCCGAACAATGCGTATTATCTCTCGTATCTCTTCAGGCCCCATCGCTACGTGTCGACAATAAACTCTCCGTGCCTTGCAACAGCAATAGCAGGTAACCAGCAGCTAGAGCGAGGCCCTTCCAGATGCAGTCAGGATTCAGCTTCTTCTCCTGCAAAAAGGCCGCGCTCTTGCGCTCTTGCCTCTGAGGCCCAACAGTGCCTGACTGTGGATGCATGAGACTGCACTGAGAGACGCTGAAAATGTATGGTCCAGCAGTCAAGCACAACGCCGCTCATGTTCCCCACCTCTGTCCGGATGCGCAGCCAAGTCTTTCGATAGAAAATCTTCGGCATCCCAGGCGGCATACATCAGCAAGTCAAGCATTCCCTTCATGCATGTGTGGTGCGAGAGTGCGCCCGATCTTATGTTGGCAAGGACCGTTGCGGGGAAATTCCGCCACAACCACAACAAGCAAAGCTGATGGTTGTCGCGATTGGACTTGCCTTGGCGGGGGTCGCCCAACTGCATAACCAGCTTCGTTGCCGTCAAGGGATCTTCATTCCAAGCAGATCTAAGTAAGCGAAGCAATTCCTTTTGTTTCATGCCTGGAACAACTCGAAAGAGGAAATCGACGCAGGCTTGCCCGGATGTCGCAAAAGCCATGGCTCCATTCTCTGTCGATGCCAGCTGTGGCCCAGGATCAATCTCTGAAATCCTTGAAGAACTGTGCGATGTGCTTGGCTGGATTGCCGCAATTCCGCGCCGGGCGGCGCGGCCGACAGCAAGCGGAACCAACAGTTGCATCACGCTGGGAGCAGAAGATCCCGCATCCCCGGTCCCAAAGTCGGGGATTCGCGGAATTATGGGCACGGGCAAAGTTGTGCGACTGTGACACAGCGACGACGGGGTGGCGGCTTTGCGCAAGAGACTCGAAGGAACAGCTGCAAGGCGCGGCACCTGCATCTGCATCTTTAGCTACTCTGGTGGTCTTCTGAACTGGGGGCTGCTTGGGGCCAAAATGCCTCAGCAAGCAATGGCCACTTCTCCAATCACGCCAAAAGAGCGCAAACACCGAAGGGCGCCAAGCAACTCAAGCCTTTTGCTGCTACTGCAATACACTTAAAGCGGTAAGAGTATCACACCGGCACACACCTTGCTATCCAGTGGCTACCGTAAGCCTCCAACCGAGAGCATGTGCTCTTTCGTCGCTCTTCTCGAGGCATCTCCACTACTTCCCTGGGACCTGTGCTCTTGCTTGCTTCTCCACTGCAGTAGCACCCAAAGAGCTCCGAAATAAATCAGGCAACCAAGTTAGAAAGGCACAGGATTACGGGCTTCCCTTGCTTGGACAAAGCAAACGTACAACATCTGAGCTGGGAGCTGCATCGTGCGTGCCTGGCGGCACATGGTTCATTGGCAACAAGATTTATACCCAAGACACACACACACACAGACACACACACACACATACATATACACGCACACACACACAGAGAAGAGGCCAGTCAGCGCAACCACTTTCCAAGTCCATTCACTGGTGGACCCAAGTGTTCTGAGCTTGAAAGCCATGGTTCGCAGCTCGTCTCGGACTTACTGTGCCAGTTGACTGTGGCATGGTCATGGCCGGCACGGCAGCTGCTTACCAGCAGGGACAGCAAGCCTGAACTGGCCCAAGACCCATTGTCTCGACACCAGCATCACATTGTGCCACCGTCTTTGCAAAGACGCGTTTGTTCTGCAGGGTCCCGATCTCCCCCCTTTGGTGTCTACGGGTAAACCAACTTTCAAGAACGATGATGTTCCCGAGAGAAGTTGTCGTCGTCATCATCATCATCATGGTCGTAGGGAACCCAGCACAAGCGATGTCGTTGCGTGAATTTGGCTACAAGTTCAAACATCCAGTCGGTCAAACACAGCTTGCTGCCTCCGAGCATGCTCCGGTGATTCCAAGCTCTTTAAGGCCGGAAAAATCTTGGAATCCAAATCCTCATCATCTGTGGCATGGTCCAGGATCAGAACCCCATTTAGGTGGTCCAGCTCGTGCTGCAAGGCGCGAGCTGCCTCGCCCTCCAGGCTTTGCGTGTGAAGCCGCCCCATGATGTCGAAGTACTCCACAGACACGGTTGCATCACGGAGCAGTGTCACCAGCACATCCGGAGGTAGGACCAGACAGCACTCTCGCCACCACCTCATGTCGCCCTCCGAGCTGCGCTCAGTAATCCGTGGGTTGACAAGAATGCGCGGCGCGGCTTCGCCCAGAACATCTTGATCCAGGAAGATTATCCGTGCGTTGACCCCCACTTGGCTTGCAGCTAGCCCAACGGCACCTTCAGTCCGGGCGGCGACCTCTAGTGCCCTTGCTAAGAGATTCAAGTCTTCAGGAGACTGGAAGGCAGACTCGGCCACAGGCTCGGCCACTCGTCGTAGTATCGGATCTGGATAGCGTGCCATGGGGAAGGAGCGTGTTCCAGAGCGCAGCCGTGCCACTGCTTCTGCAAGGGTGTTCATGCGTATCTGTGTCCCTGACCATTTGCTCGAATCCATGCCCGAAGCTGCACGCGTTCTGCCGCCAAGTCCGGCGAGCATAGCCGTGGCGACGAGAACAGCACGCCTGCCGGCCTCCCTGGTGTCCAGGGCCTTGCCGAAAAGGATCCTCTTGCTGAAATGCACCAGGTTTCCAAGATCTGCTGCAGGCCTAGGAGTCAAAGTTTCGGGGTTCACGGAATGTCTGCAGGTGAGTGGTCTCGGTCTGGGAGAAGTCGAAGCCGACAGCGCGGCTGCTGGCCTCCATAGTGGAATCATTTTGCCTGTGTCCATGTCAGCAGAGGCAGTCCGCGGCTGAGTCTACTTACTCGCGGTTGAAACCTGGGCACACTGAGCGTAATCAAACCTAAGCACCAAGTCTTGGCATATCTCTCGCTTATTCTCGCATTGGAACTCCATTCATTCATATCGCGAAGCCGTTTTGGCTCGCCTTTGCTGTCGCAACCACGAAATTCTGGCCAGCTTCCAAGAAATAGCCTTCAGTTTAGCATTACAAAGAAGACATTGAAACAGACAGCCCTGCCGAACTCCGACACTTGACAAGCAACCTTGCAACACCTTGTAGCACCCAGAACTTGATTCTGATTCATGTTCCAGCCTGCACTTTGCTGAGAAAACCCCGCAGCACTCGACCAGCGCACCACCGAAAAGAGAGAACACAGAAAAGAGAAGCACCCCGCAGATTAAGCCAAGAAGATGAGAGGAGTAAATGTGCCTTCTTGCGAAGTTTTGCTCCCTCCTCATCAATGACCATCTGAAAAGCCACACCTTGGATCTCATCACAATGGCGGCAAAATGTACGAAGGTCAAACACATCAACAACAATAGGCCCGCAATAGGCCTTTCAGTCTGTGCCTGCGGTCTTTCAGTCATGATAAGGGCTCCGTCGTCTGATCAATGCACCTATAGGACCCAAATCTCCACGATAGCCGCAGGATGGATTCCGAAGTAGCCACAGCCAGTTTCGCTCAACAGCACTGCAAGTTACACGGTTTGCAGAATCACACCTGCTCCCTTGACCTGCCAAAAATCACGGCTGAGCCCCGAGCACATCCTGACTTTCCCACGTCGGCACTCAGTGCCTAAATGCAGCTGCTTCATAAATTGCAGACTGCGTATGTCAGCCGCAAGTGCTGGCCACTTGCATGCCAGTAGCATCCACGACAGTCGCATCGTTCACTCCGAAGTGAAACTTTAACGCTCCTACGACAAGGTTGCCGCTTGGCGTGCTGAGGGTTCAGCACTTACACTCGTGGGGCGAGTCGCCATAAACATTCCTGGCATGGGACAAGATCTCGGATGTTGGATGAACAATACATGGGAAGGGTTGCAGGTACAGCAGGAGTAGCGAACAGGGAACATATCCTTCAAAGGCCTGCGGCAGCTGTAACATCTGGAGCCCCGATGAGGACTTGGGCCCAAGGCCTTTCAATTAGTCCAGTGCGCGATTTAGAACAACTTGGTTTGGGAAACACCATGACGTGCCCCAAGCGTGAGCCTTGATCGCATCAGGTTTCAGCTCAGGGCGAAGCCACGAGATTTCAACAGATTTACTGCTATCGCTGCCATTTATGCTCCTCGGCCTCTGCATATAGGCATGCATCCGACTCTATCAACCCTACAAGTACTATAATGATGCGGCTCCACTACAGTATGGGTCAGAACTACCGGCCTGACATCACAATCTCGACTCGCCAGCGGCAAGTAGTCTTCGACTTGTGCCAAGTAAACCTCCAACCAGATCCAACTGTGATCCAACTCATCTGTGTGTAGAAGCAGGTAGAAGCAGGCACATGGAGTACTAAGAGAGAGAGAGAGAGAGAGAG